GAACATCACATGATATTTTAATTATCTTAATTATCTTAATTTTAAATTGTGATTAGACGGACAAAAATAATTAATTAAATATATATCTTCACAATATGACGCAACTATACCATCTTACGAGTAAAATTCAGACTTAGTGGGTGTTAGAAAGCATGTGGTACATATAGTTACCACCGGGATATATATTGTGAATTAGTAATTTAGTAAGTTAATAAGTAATTTCATAAATAATTTGGTCAGTTACGTCTTTAAGATAGAGTTTCGTAATTAATTTACTTTGTCGTAGTTTATTGGTCAGTCAGAACACGGAGTAGCCTACCTGGTGGCGCCGCGTTGTGGTGACTGTCGAACTCAGGAACATACTGTTCGCTATCGTCCGTCTCACAGCTGCTACCTGCAACAGACAGAAACCCGAAACCAAAATTTTAGTACGGGACATCAGTTTGAGGTGAAAGTTACGAAGTTGTTTCACTTAATTCTTAACAAATTACAAGCGTAATGAACATTAACCTTTTGTAGCAGGAGCTCGTTAAATAGTGAAAAGTGGCTACTACAAATTTCTCATACTTCGAAAAGCAAACCAAATAATACGACTTCATGTTCTCACGGTGGTGAGTGTAGCTTCGTGTAGTACGGTATAAAACTACCGACGTTTCAGAGGAAACTAATCTCTCCTTACTCTGACAATCACATGAAACTCATAAATGCACTTTTTCGGTAAAACACTGAGTTATTCATTGATAAATCAGGTGGCACATTAGGTCAGTTACCACTGGGTTTTAAAAAGTTAATATAAACCTCATATTCTACTTAAATATCTAGTTTATTTTACAAACGAGCTTTGACAACCAAGTCAAGCTGGTACCAACTCATTAGGTGGAAATATTACTACTAAGCTGGTTTAATTTTTCAGTCTCTTTGACACAAATAAAATAAAGCTGTCCAACTATACGCCATTTAGGCGCTTGGGGGGAGAGGAAGTATAGCTCCTAGTCATTCTTGACCTCGGCACTAGATGGGGTGAGTGGTTAGCATCACGCCTCGGCCGCGCTGCTGCAGTTGTATCAGCGGCATTTTTGAGTAACCGATGTGGTTTTAAGAACGTAAAGAACGCCTCTGTGCTCCCTGTGGTAGTGTCTGTGGATTCTCCCGGCTCCAGGAAGATGAAATGAATATTCAAGGCGTTTATGGCTCAGGCCAGACGCTCGTCTGTTTCGGAGTTGCTGATGGTTGCCCTTCCCCGATAATCCGCTTTATTTGTATCAAGCGAACTAAGTTAGTGGTAGCACTCCAAGAAACCCCGGGGTGACCAAATGAATAGGAGGGTGAACAACCCCCACCCATTACAGTGATTAGCCCCCACCCCGGCGTCTACACACAAAGGCACCCCAACTAAAGATGAGCAAACACTGTCTGTGACGACAATCAATCAACGTCATGAGAATGGCTTCTGGACTAGAGCATAAAGCTCGATATTTTCATTCTGATTTCACGTATCGTTTTGTTTCGATACGGTGACGGGGTATCGATTATCTCGAACCGATGTGCTCTCGATTGCTAAGTCAGTTGGTCGAATCCTATTCCAGGTAAAGCTGAGAGAGATATAAGGTAAAGTAAGTGAATCTAAGTACCACGACATTAACATTTTAACGCCAAGTAATAATTATATGTGCCATCTGATTTAACATTAAGTAACTTTGCATTTTGTGTACACAGGGATTATTTCCTTAAACAGAGTTAACCAAATTGTCTTCGTAATGGTTACCCGGCTGTGTTTTCTCTCGGTCATGGGGTGAATACAGAAATGGTAGCCAAATTAGATACCTCTTAAACAGCCCTTCCAATGTTAAGTTTAAAATTAAAATTAAAATTACACCCTAAAGTAGCTTCATCTATCTTATCTTCCTCGATATAACACAAACAATATCTGGTGAAGAGAGCGTATTGTAAGACTTAGAAATGGTATAGGCTGGTTTCGAACAGAAATTCAAAGTCATTTTATTTAAATTGAAACTGTTATTTTAAAACATTTAATTTACTAGAAGTGGCAGAATTGTTCTTCTCCCAAAATACCATATAATTCCACACGGACTTAAAAAAATCAAGGCTGATAAAAGTTTTACGAAATTCTAGACTAGAAATGTTTTAAAGTCCAGCACACTCGGATGTAATTTGCATTCATTACGAAACGTGTTTTCTTCGCGGTCCGGCCCGAGTCTGTATATTATAACGGCACTCGACTCGCAAGTGATTACTGCGTGTGATGGCCTGAAGGTGGTTCATTTTCTTACCTTCTTGTAGCCAGGGCTCCTGTGTCTGACGAAACTCGTGATAAATGTCTCCTACAAAGAGAAAAGGGGAACTACATAAGGAATGCGTTCAAAATGTAATCCCAGGGATTCTAACACAAGAATAGTTCATCTTCACATATAACATCATAATTTTCTATGATGTACGAAATATATAATTCGAAAATGTCTCTAAATAAATCAAAAAAAAAATTGTACGGTAACCAATCAAGGAAGCTGAGATACGCGGATCGTGGAATATACACACAAAATTTTAGAAGGAAAATCTGGAGAATTGATAAATCTAGTCGTAAACATAAGTAAAACATTGAAATGAGGCTTAAATAAATAAGGCGATATATTGTGAAATGGACCAAATGACTCAACGCACCGCCTAATTGCTGAATATCGTGACCAATGTAACTGTCATTCAGACAAGGACGAAGACAGTTACAAGTTTCGCGAGACGTAGGGTGCAGACAATGCAAGGCCCAGATTCTAAATTATTACCAATTTTCTGTTGCTATTGATATTAATTCTAATTCTTTCACAGTTTTACAGTGTTCCTGCCGGCATGATTTGTTTCCGGGACAAAATACGTGGGGAATTTCATAATTACTTTTGGTCCTAAACTAAAGTATTCTCGAGTCAAGCTGGAGGGATTCATTTTAAGTAAGTGTTTTAATACAATAAGTATCACGTATTATACTCAAATACGTGAACCAATTTACTTAGCATGTTCAAAGAAAATCTCATGTTGTTAACCGTATTTTAAATTTTATATAAATAATTGATTTATAGCTTGAATCATGTGTGGTCATTTCATAATTCATCGTTCGCAAGGAAAATACGCTGGTAATTGCACATATTTCAAAGATAGCCTACAAAAGATAATATTAAAGTGGATCTTCTGGAATTTGGGTGGGAGGGTGTGGACTGGGTTGAGTTGGTTCAATACATGAACGGGTGTCGGACTCTTGTGAACACAAGAATAAATCTTCTGGTTCCATAGAAGCTAGGGAAATTTCTTAACTGACAGAGGGTAATTTGTTAAATGACGACTCCGCTCCATGGAGCTAGTGAACACACTTATATTTCTTGGAGAGGCAGGCCAGTGTCCCACCTTACCTTCCTGGTGATGTCTGGGTGGTGTCTTTTCAGGAGGTGGCTGCGAGTGCTGCAGGGTGAAGAACCCTGATGATTCTGGGGGCTGGTGTTGCCCTATGTGGGGTGCCTTTCCTCCGTGCAGACACTGTGGAGGTGTGGACTGATGCAGTCCAAATGCCGACCCCTGGAGGCAACAAACGTTTCTTCTCAGCACGTGAAACAGCGCGACACAACCTAACCTAACATAACCTAACCTAACTTAACATAACCTAACCTAACATAACCTAACCTAACATAACCTAACCTAACATAACCTAACATAACTTAACATAACCTAACCTAACCTAACATAACTTAACATAACCTAACCTAACCTAACATAACTTAACATAACCTAACCTAACCTAACATAACTTAACATAACCTAACCTAACCTAACCTAACCTAACATAACCTAACCTAACCTACTACATGACGATTCGACATCACAAAACTGTGAATTTAAGTCGCAATTACCTTTAACGGGATACACCAACAGTAAAGAATTTCACGACGCAAACCCATGGCATAAAAAGTTCTCTTGTCCTCTGAAATTTAAGACCTGTATTATGTTAGTGAGTTTTTCCTATAAATTAAAGCTTAATTAAAACAGTTATTATCGTTTTTAACAAAATAAGAATTCTCTGTTCGATCCTACGAAACATGACCATGGTAAGCAGCTTCGTGTTCCGGCCGCTCTCACCCCAGGAACAGAGTGGCCATTACCTTCTGTGTAGACGGTTTTCTGGGCCCGATAGCCACTCTGAACTTCGTGCTTAAGAGAAACATTGTAAATACCAATAACTGGCCTCGAATCCTAGCCTTCAAGTAGGATCTGAGTTTCTCACGGCGGTGGGTCCGAAGGTGGCTATCTTCTGGGTTGTAACGCCGTGTAGTCTGAGATTTCAAAGGTCATCAGGGCGATGAATAAGCTCTCAAAGTTACTGAGTTCTTAAGTAACGTTATCCCTGGTCCTTAACTAAGCACCACTCCGTGCAGACGTATGGGGGGAGTGGTATTATAGCTCCACGTATTCTTAAAATCGGCACCAGAAGGAGAAAAGCGCTTAGCTTCACGCTCGGAATACTTTACCCCTGGTAAAAATATGTTACTTGTTGGATAGGAGCTTGGGTGAGCCCCAGAGCTGGATTGGACGTCGGGACAGAGAAAAATCTTACTCAGCAGAGAATGGAACATCGGTTATCCAGCCCGGAAACAAAGGACTATACATGCTGACTGAGATCTTAGTCTAAAGTTTAGACTCTAAACTATAAAACAAAGACAGCAGAGGAAGATAAATCAGACCACGTGTCTATAGCCTATCAGCTTGTTTCAAGTGAGTAAACGGAATGGAGAGAAGTCAGAGATCCAGTTTATGAAGCTGGACCACGACATCACCGCAAGAGATGTTGCAGGGAGAAGAAATTCATTTGCGGAGGAAAACGGGAGTCTGAGTTCCTGTGTGGAATTGCGTCATTTCCGACAGAATCAGACTTTTTACTACACTTTAACGCGGTTATCGGGTGACGGGGCTGGGTAACCCGCGAGACAGATGAGAGCTATCGCCATCAGGAGGTCCTCGTAAAGAACACGGATACCAACGAGGTTTCTTTTTTTGTAAGGATATTTGTTTAATTACGCGTTATCGATGAAAATATCGTCTGACCTTACCGGAAACTAATCACAGTATTCATTGACACGACCAAAATCAAAACCGCTTTAAAATTGCTCGGTTTTGTCAAAACCTGAGACTTTGAAAATTGTCTTCTTGATAAATACTTGTGACATTTCTAGGACTTAATGTTTTCATGACGGTCAGTCCGTTGTTGGCTGTCTTGTGGGTTGCAGCACTTTGTAATCTGGTCTGATGAGTCATCACCCTGATGATGGAGTCAGCAAGGATCTCCGAAACGTTTGATAAATTTCTACAACCCAGAAGACAGCCAACTTCATATTAACACTGTAGGTCTCAAAACTGCGTGACCTCAGTATTAAATTGTCGCTTCAGAAGGCAAAGGAAACAAAGAAGGGTGACTTTACGAAACGTCAGGTGATGCATTCCAGACTATGTTCATCATGCAGACACCCCGGGGTATTGATCCTACATTAGTAAAGAATTATACTGGAGGGTAGATACATGGAGGATGTTCGTTCACGACTTATCGGAAACCCGATCACCAGGCTCAGGGAAAAGAGCGACCTAAGTGCCAGGGTAAAGCAAATGGCCCACTGTCCTATTAATTCGTGAAGTCCGCTCAGATTTCGTCTTCATGCGTGGTTATGTCAGTTTGACGTTCGCTGGGTGTGACGTGGCTTCATTCTGAAGAGCTTAGCGTAGTTACAGTTACTACTATTTTTAATATTGTACGTACAGTTTTATTTATGCCTTTTATATTTATTTATTATTTATTTATTGTTCTGTCTGACGACAGGTCCATATGAACAGGATCCTTCCATCCTTTTCTAGGACTGGGACCTGTTCATATACGTTCTTGGCAGATGATCCAGAAGTGGTTTGCCATTGCCTTCTTCTGTGTGTGAATGGAGTAATTGTTGGGATGTCACGGAGAAACCGGGGAAGCCCCCGGAGGAAAACTCCGTGTTGCCTAGACCACGGCCTTGCCCAACACAAGTTATAAATTCGGGCACCGCCGGGAATCGAACCCGAGACCCCAGGATTACAAGGCTAGCGATCTAACCGCTAGACCACCGTGGCGGTCTTTTCTGTTTATGAGAAATTATTTTTTTTCTCGGGGATCCCCCCCTCCTCCCAGTCTTTGTGTAAAGTTCAAAGATTGAGAAATCTCCAGACAGACAGACAGACATTATTAAAAGAGGCGAGAACGTATTAAACATTTTCCCGGAGAACTGACTTCATTTCCAGTTGAAGTCGCTCTCACACGTGCCAGACAAAGACCCTCTGTCTCCTTGCGGTGTAAACTCGTTACATTAATTGCCGTCTTTCATTCTGTCCCGCCGCGAATGTGGGTCGAGAGAAAAGGAAAAGGCGAATTGGGGCAAACTTTTTTTTCCTCGCTTTTGTGGAGGCGTTAGTTCGATTTTCGTAATTGCCTACTGTTTGCTTTGCGACATGTATTGTTGTGACCGGCATTGTTTGAAACAAAACAAAAGGTGAGACAGTTTTTGGCCCACGGAAAAAAGAAAATTGTCTCCTCTGCCCACGTAACTCTTACAGATTTATCTGAAACTAAAGGCAGTCTTGCATTCATGGGCAAACAAACAATTTGTCACACACATGGGGACCATTCATGAATAAAATGTCTACAGTGGCTTCACTCGCAAAACCTCAGTCCCCTCCCCCAAAAATATGCAGTCACATTCAAGAACACGCATTCATCGTAACTGATTTCAACAACAAAAGACTCCCACAGTATTCATATCGGTTCATAAACAAAAACAAAAAAAAATTGTTGTGTCCAAATTAATAAAAGATGAATTCGGATTTGCTGCAAAATCCAAATCAGGACACACTAATAAGATTTAAATGTCGATTTTCCAAAAATGTATAAATGACTCGGTAAAAATGTGCTGGGGGTAACCAACATACTAAATCCCAAAACTTGTACGAAACAACTCAATTCAGTGGATGGACGAAGTTCACCGACGTTTCGGAGGTACCTGCCGCCTCCTTCATCAGGGCGAAACGTCGGTGAACTTCTACCAGAATTACACGGCGCAACAACCAAGAAGACTCGCCACCTCGAAAACCCAAAAAAAATCATACATAATAAATATTTTATTTCTAGTTTAACTACGTCTATTTAAAGATATATTGTTTAAATCTTGTCCGTCTAATCACAATAAATTCTTATTAAATATTAAAATATTACAATAATTAACATTTAAAATATTTAAAAATATTAAATGATGTTCTTTATCGAAATATTCGATTTACATTAGACCATCATTTTTCATTTCATTTCATTTTTTAAACAATAATTTATTTATTATATCACAATATGACGCAACTTTACCATCTCATGTCTATTTAAAGCCCAAAGCAGATATTGTTAACAATATAAATATGATGTAAAGAAGATTACTGCTTTATCGACTCTACGTGTTATTTAAGGGTGACAAACAGGCCTGCTCTTATGTAATTTACACAATGAAGATGTACATTAAACGACCTCTGGGGAGACCTGGGGCAAGGTGGTGAGGTCATGCAAGAGGGGGGAACGGGGGTCATACAAAATAATACGGAAAGAGGGGTCATATACAGAGGGAGCGATCATGAGAGGATAAATAATTCTGGAGAAGGATTTATTATTTAAAATCAGTCGATGATAATCAATTTTAAACTATGACAGTGAACGTTTAAGTCTAAATCTCATGTTCTTGTATGACCAAAAATGACAAGATCGGATTATTTTTTTATTTAAACGTCTTCGAAACATCTGAATAAAAACGCTTTTAACAGCGAAACTTTTTTCCTCATGTAATGTGGCTAACAATGGTAGGGATGAAACCCCGGACCCTTCAGATACTACGCTCCTAACAGCCTAATTCTTCCGTCATAGTGATTCACTTCATTTAAATTTGGTGAGTCACTTTTAAGTACGCGAAATATTTCAGACATTTCCGCGTAAAAAAATGTTGTAATACCTGACGAGCTTAAAGCTTTACTTCAAGGCACAGAGGCCTGTGACCAATCAGATGGCCTATACCAGATGCCTTTCCCGTTCGAAAGGAGATGATTTATGAACCATCGAAGAACGTCAAATGTGTTTTCGTGAAGGAGGAAATGGGACACTTTTAAAAAAAACGTTTTACGGACAACGTAATTATAATTAAGGGCCCTATTTAGTACGAAATTTTAAGGTAAATGATCACGGTTTTTATAATGTATAGATTCTACTCATAAGTCAATACGCCAATACGCGTAATAGACTAAATGAAAATGGCAAAAGATGACAATATTACGGAAGAAAATATTCACGATTAGAAAACTGTGATAATAATTCTGATGATGGCAACAAAGAAGAAATATAAAGGGAAGGTGAGATTTGAGGTTCTCAAGGAGGTTTGTCACGCAATGCTGAATTGTAGGTAGATACGAACATTTCAGACACGCCTGAACATAATGCGTCCATCTTCATGGTTGAAGACTTCAAAATTAAGATAAAAGGAGAATGTTTCTACGAAATTTTGATGTCTACCCACAATTCCACACGGCCTGAAGGCCTGTATCGCTGTAACGGAGATTTCTTGGACATGGTGTCCTTTTATCTGATTAAATTCGGGAGCTTAGGTAAAAATGTGTTAAAAGACGTGAGGAACAGATGAGTCAGGTCCAGAGATGCGACTTACAACGATCCTCCTGACGCCGGACGTTTCGGCAGGAACTTCCTCATCGGCCATGATCGTCCGAGTCGCCAGCCACCCCCCTGCACTCACCCACCACACAACATCATCACACGGAAAAACATTCCACAGGACCTCAGCAACGCAGCTGCATTGTACGACAGATAAGACTTGTGTTTGCGAAAAAGGAAAATTTTGTGAAATGTACGTCTGAGCGAGCCTCCTCCCCGCTAGGATCAATTGACATGCGCACAGCACCGCCCAGTTTCGGGCCACGCCCATCCAATGTCGCATGAGGACGAACACCTGAAGGACATTTCGTCCCCCTGGTTCAGTAGCCATCACTTCTCACACCCAAGCGTCCAAAAACCCAGAAAAAAAATCAGTCGTGAAAAGTTTCACTTCAAAGGCAACGTCACATTACACGAACGTGGTCCTTACGACCGAGCAACGCCCGTATAACCATAATTAAACACTCAGACCAAAAAATATATTCTGTAGACATTTCATCTTCTGGGTCGTACCACCGTGTAGCCTGATAGAAGTTTACCAACGTTTCTGAGGTCATTTCTGCCTCCATCATCAGGGCGATGAGTATGAAGATTTCTGTCTTCTGGGTTGTTGCGCCGTGTAGTCTGGTCGATGTTTACCCTCTGAAACGTTGGTAAACTCCTATCAGACTGCAAGCTGCAACATCGTAGAAGACAGGCAATTTTTTATTCGCGACCGTCAGAACCTGAAATCTCACCTTTCTCGAGTTCCCTGTTTTATCAGTGGAACTCGAAGAAATATCAGAAACAAAAGTTGAAATGTCATTTTAAGACGGAAATGAAAGGAAATGAGTGAATTTCCCAGCTCTGCAAGAAAGGTCGAACCAGGACAGATCGATCTCGAGACTTGCGTCGCTCTGTCAGACGTAATTTGTTTTTTAAAAAAAAAGACTCTGTATCTCCAATGTCACAAAAATCTGGTTGAGAAATGAGAGAGGCCACGTATCTGGTAGTGTTACCCTACGACCAAGTTTCCAACCACAAAATCGGTGACCACTTGTAAGATATAAGTTTTCTTTTAGCGATGGTCTAGCGGTTAGAACGCTGGCCTTGTAATCCTGGGGGTCTCGGGTTCGATTCCCGGCGGTGCCCGAATTTATAACTTGTGTTGGGCAAGGCCGTGGTCTAGGCAACACGGAGTTTTCCTCCGGGGCATCCCAACAATTACTCCATTCACACACAGAAGAAGGCAATGGCAAACCACTTCTGGATCATCTGCCAAGAACGTATATGAACAGGTCCCAGTCCGAGAAAAGGATGGAAGGATCCTGTTCATATGGACCTGTCGTCAGACAGAACACTAAATAAATAAATAAATAAATAAGAATACCCCTATTACCTTCTCCCGTCTGTCTGTCCGTCTGTCCGTAAGTAACATCCGGAGTATCGCTTAGCAGACCTTTAATTAAATTTCATATTTGGGAGTTTTACTAGAAATTCTCGACACGTTTAAATTTTTGTTTGAAATCGGTCGACGATAACAAACTCTTAAATGTTAGAGGTTGGTGAAGCTAAGCTTGTTTGTTTTAAACTAGATTAAGACGTGAGAAAATATTCTTTGCCATAAAATTCTCGATTGTCGTAAATATTAATTAGCAAACTAGTTTTTCAATAAAATTGGTAAGAAAATATGAGTGGTGTTTGGGCATAAAGCAACTCGAGATTTCTCAAAATTCTAAAATCCATCGCCTTCAACGGAGCGATTGGATTTTGCTGGCACAGGACAGAGTCCGGTGGAGGGCTTTGGTTAATTCGGTGATGAACCTTCGGGTTCGGTAAGCCATCTAGTTGGTTGGGTCCACTATTTGGGAAGCCTGAGGGGAAGAGACCTCTGGGGAGACCTAGACGTAGATGGGAGGATAATGTCAGGCGGGATCTATGGGAGATAGGAGTTGAAGGAGACTGGATTTTGTTGGCCCAGGACAGGGTCCGGTGGAGGGCTTTGGTTAATTCGGTGATGAACCTTCGGGTTCCCTAACCCATCTAGTTAGTTACTCTTCAATGTAATGGAAAAGGAAATGTTTCTCAATGACTGTAATTATGGAAATTGGATATCTCAGCTTAGACAAAATCAGAAATATCACAAATATTTTAACTTTCACGTTAGCTTACAGACTAGTAGAACAATCATATATTGTATCTGCCTTCGTCCGTCCGTCCGTCCATCAGTCCGCGTGTAGCAACTCGAGAAAATCTAAGCGTATTTTCATAAAATTTTGAACTGGTGATGTCTCCTAAAATCCATCGAAACACTAATTTTTTTTATTAAAATGTAATAACAAAATATAAATGTTACCTAAATGAAGACCTACTTTTTTTTGAGTATTCATTCGAAACAAATCTTAAAATTTCATCAACCCTGACGGATAAAGCTTCATTAAACAACCAAATAAATAACAGCAATTTCGTGGTTTCAGTGTCTGAACCCAGGACAAGGGGGGGCAGACGAGCGGAGTGTTGTTAATGCGCAGTCTCCCGGAATGGGCTGAACCTCTGGGGCGCAGCCCCTAGTAATGATTGGCTGATGTAATAGTAACTCTAAATGGGAGGGACCTCTCGTCCTCCAATAACGAGAGGTTCCCTTGTACCTTGGGCCCTCCGTCACACAGAATTGCAGGAAACCACGAAAAACATCAATTCTTCCTCCTGAAAACAGCAGTTAACAGATGCAGATCCGGTTTTGTGGTTCTGTTTAACTTAACAGCAAATACGCCTACGTCTTAGCTAATGGATTCCTTCATAAATAAAGTCAGATCAATCCGTTTAATGGCGTGTTGAAAAGATCATAGCGTGAGGTAGGCCTGTAAAATTTTTTTGGAGGCCAGTGATTCCCCCAAACTGCGTTTCGAGAACACTGCGACATGATTCTGGTCCCACTACATGCAAACTGTATTCGTGTCTGTCTGTGGGCTTCATTATTAATGAACGCCTAAGTATTTACATTGTTCTCTCCCTTCGATTGTTTTAACAGAAATATTAATATTGCACATAATTTGAAACACAAGTCCGCTAATGTTACACGTATAAACAATTTCCAGTTTGACTTTAAATTTGTAATACTATGATCAAATTAGCAGCGGATAAACTTACCAACACCGTGACGAGTCTAAATGAACTCATGATATGAAGGTCGTGTCAATTCGAATATTTTCAATATGGATGCCGATGAAATGGATTTGCAAACAGAATTTAATTTCGGTTAAATATTAACACCAATTTCGCTAACGTCGTAATTGGCCTATTTTCTTAAAAGCGGGAATACCCAAACACGTAGCCTATACTGGACAACCATAACCTCTCATCTCATTTCGATATGGTGAATATTTAGCGAATTTATTTTCTATCGTATTCGTTCCATCAACTTCACATGTTTTACACAGACCATCCAAGTGGTCATAACGTTAACGATGTGACAAGACTGTAAGAATTATGAGCTTATTAACAAATATTGCACTTCTACGTCACCACTGTCCCACGATTATTCATCCAAAAAAATGGATTACACAACGGAACAGTTGTTATGCATACGAAAAACTTGCTCAAATCAACAGCTTAAGAAACCACAATACGAGACATTCTCCTGCATTTGAATTTTCTAGCGCCATTTTAGATATTTGTCAGTGATGTTAACTTACATCTCCTTCCGCTATCTGTAGGGCAGCAGATAGTACGAATATGGAGTCAACAGATGGCATTACTGTTACATAGATAGCGCTCTCAGCAGTCACTGACCAGTGGCTTTAGATTAAACTGAACTTGAATAAATTGATTAAGTTAGGTTATAAATTCTAGCTGAAAATTCAAATCCTTCTTGGAAAACATACTTGTGCACGTTTCTTTAAGGATTCAATAAATACTGATATGAAGCATATTTACGCATTTTGTAACGATTCTTACGGAATTCAGCAAAAGTTTAAATTGTGGACTTTTGTGAATCATGAACTTAAATAGTAAAATGATTTAGACATAATGATGTGGAAGGAGGCAGTCATGGCGTATTTAACGTTGTGGTATTGGTACTATTGTAGCATTCAACAGAAACCACGGAAATACTACTCACAACATGGCATTCTGGGCAAAATTAAGACTAAACACCTTCAAAATAGAAGTTTAAATGATATTTATCCCATGTGTTTTTATCTACAGACTTTTTATTTCGTACAATTATGATCAAAATATTTCCAAACCTAACCTATAATACCGATATTAGTGTAATGAAATTAGAAACCATCAAAGAATTTTTGTGAAACTGATATATAAAAATAATCCTATTCTTCACTTTAACCTTTCAAAATTGGGGTACACAATATATCGAGGAAAATATGGTACTCAGGTTGTAATCAAAATCTGCAAAACAAAATCAAGACATGTATCAAGTTTTATATAATTAATATCATCTCTTAAAGTGGATAACATTTACAAGAAATATATCATGCTCAGTCCTCGCAGACTCACATTTACACTTTTATATTATTTACACGCTTACATACAAATTACTTTAAATTATAAAAACAAAATAGTTATTAAACATTAACTCCTGATAAGATAACTTTTAACTCACAAGACGATTAATCAGAGTTACACCTACCGTATTTGATGCGTATCAGTTACGCGTCTTACCAGCAGGGTCCTAATTTCAATCAGATTAATTTTGTTCAAAACAAATATTTCAGCGATGCAACAGAATGCACTGCCGTAAGCCACCACACGCGCATTATGAGAGTAGGCTCGTAAGTTTTCTTCAGACGTCAGGACACTTGAAAATTTGAATGAGTTTCTCGGGATAAACCAGACAAAATTTTCAGCCATTTAAGAATCTTCATTTCATGAACACTCCACAAAAACTTCCACTGGGGGAAGTTGTTAAAAGACTGAATTTTTAAACTGACGAGATCCGCGTCGAATTACACGATACACCGATATGATGAATCCATACACGTAACGAATGTTTTCCCCCAACCGAAGACACCGATGTATCTACTACGTCAAGTGACGTCCCAATGGCCGAGTGGCTGGCATTATAATTTTTGTACCAGGGATCGATTCTTGGCTGGAGGGCCAGCCATCTTAACCGAGGTCTTTTGCGGTTTTCCCGAATCCCACCAGACAATTCCTGGAAGGGTACATCAAGTCATGACCACTTCCTACTACGCCCTTCCAAAAATGATTCACAGTCATCCTTCCACCTGACGCTATATAACACACAAGAAAGTGCGCTAAGAAATGAAGGGACCTGTCCCGACTGTTTCCTTCCACATCATCGCTCATAAGCCTCACCTTCTCGTGGTAGCGAGACAACTGTCGTTAACTGAACTAAGAAGCAGGAGGATATGGCACTTGATATTTCTTGGCTTCGTACACAGACTTGCTTTCCCATCACGGCACAAAACACTGTCTCGTGGAACTCTGTCCAGAACTTAGCGTAAAGAGTGCGCAACGCCTTCCACCGTTATTATAGGCACTGTGCCGCTCCTCGTCTTCGCCGGTTCCCCAAGACGTGCCGAACATCAAACAGAATTCACACAAAAGTTTCAAGCACAAATTTAATTAACACACTGGCCTGATAATGCACTGGGGTCACTCCCCAACTCCTCAGTACGTGGCAATGCCTAGTAATAATATCAGCTAATTAAGTAATAAACTTCAAGCAGGACAAATTAAATTTCAGTCAAGTGCCAAGGGGCATCGTAGATTCGAAAAAATTAAAACTGAACGCATATAGAAGAAACTAAGTGAAGAATAAATTGGTACAGAGAAAATGATTAAACTCCCTAAACTTAATGGTACCTGGACTGTTGTGATGGTGGGGCTCGAGTACCTCAGAGACCCCAAGAGCTACTGGTAGGGCCTCCCTAGCCAGATTGGTCGAGGGGGAGAGGTCAGACTAAGACGGGTACCCTGGTCCTCCAGGTTAGGGGTTGGTCGCAAGGCTAACAACCTCGCACCGTAAAAAGGAAGATGTTTCGAAACCTCGATCAAAGCCTCGGACAGACGGACCTAACAGAGGACCGAACGGAAGAGGAGAATCGAGGAGGCCATGGACCGAATACGGACCGGAGAGTCATAGAAGAAGAAACATGATGGACGATAACGTATTTTCAAAAGCCGACGGTATAAATCAAAGTGTATGGACAGATACATTTTAATAAGTTCCAGAGACGTCTATTAAGTCACGCCGGGCTGTACGATAATCTGAAGTGGGCAGAAAAAGAAGAAGAAGACTGTTCACCAGGCTGTACGATAATCTGAAGAGGGCAGAAAAAGAAGAAGAAGACTGTTCAACAAATTCGGAACAGCGGAGCAAAATAAAACAGTAATTTCACCCACAGTACATCCAGACGCATAAAATAATGAACTTACACTATACCTGCCGAAAACCGTGTTGAGACTAGTAATACATTAATGTCCCTGCTGGCTCAGAGGTTGAGCGTGAAGTAAGATTCAACTTATAAGGGGTTGCAAAGTCAACCCTAAACACTGAGCACATGTCAGTCATTCAATAATACACTTCAGTATGCAAAGTGTACAGGCAGTAACAAATCACCTTATGATTACATTCAAGACACAAATACTATATATAAGCTACGATCATTAGAAGTGGTCCACTAACACTGACACGCTGTTCGAGCCAATGGATGTGGCTGGACCCCCAGAATCTATCGCCACGCTCTGCCAACTGGATGGCCGTCCCAGCTGCCCACAGGTCGTCTCTCCGGACTTGAGCGCGAAGCTTCTGGGACGACGGTTTGACTCTGATGAGCGGTCCGGAGGTTCGCACATCGCCCAGTGCGGTAACCGCAGTTCAACCGGACAACGGAACTTAAGTCCGTGCGGCCCGCACAGGACCAGTGGACTTAGCAACGTCTCACCTGTATAACAAAACACTGACTTTATGCAAGGTTCATGAGAACGCTCATGTTTTCCATACCATCGAAACAGTCAATATGAAATTTCATGAAACTTGGTACAAGCATAATATTACTGAATGCCACTCACCCAACTTTTGTACACTTATTAAATTACCTTCTATCTAACGTACAGAGTTTGTGAATTTTTTTTGCATTTTTTCAATATTATTTTCTATATTATGTTTTAGGACGTCAAGATAAATACCTTCCATGTTCTTTTCAACCCACACTTCTCAGGAAAGGGACAATTCTGTGGTACAAATATATATATATATCATGAAGACTGGGTGAAATTTTAGGTTCTCATGGTCAAATATGAAGATGACGTCTTCTGGAATGGTGTGCTGTGTAGTCTGATAGAAATTTTAGAAAATATATTTACAAATATTACAGAAGAATGGATTAACAATATATTTGACTAAAATGTAAGGGAATCATTTGCTAAAAAGCAGGGTTTTTTTTCTTCAATTCTTCTCAAACTGCAAAATTTTGTATTAAATCCTTGACTTGTGTTACGAGCCTTTCCATGAAACAAGGCGAATAATACACGGAGGTTACAAACGCAACAAAATACTGAAATCCACAGATAACACAAAACTCTCATCCACTTTACTGACATTCCAAAAGATTTTAATGCCAACGATTCAGAGCACAGCACCCATAACTTTGTCAAGAAGCCCATGCATGCGTTACTTTGTCTTATACGTTAACATTCATAGAAAAGTATATATACACATAAACACAGTGAGAAAGACAGGAGCACGTTGACGGCTGTCTTCTGGGTTGTAGCGTTAGTCTAGTAGAAGTTTACCAACCTCTGAAACACTGGTAAACTTCTACCAGACTACACAACGCTACAACCCAGAAGACAGCCATCTTCGGACTCGCCGCCGTGAAAATCTCAAAACCTACTTAGACGAGCACATTATCTACCAGATAGAATAAGGATCACTTGTCTACCAAAGCGACTGCAAGGCCATTACTCAGGACTGAGTATCAGAAGGTCCTGGAAGATGTCTGTCTTCTGGGTTGTAGCGCCGCGTATCTCGTAGAAGTTTACCAGCATTTCAGAGGGTGACAAGTACATTGGTGACGGAGGCAGCAAGGGCCTGCGAAACGTTGGCGAACTTCTACCAGATCAGCTACGGCGCCACAGCCCAGAAGACCACACGAGAACCTCAAATCCTACTTAGAAGGTACTGGGTTTCACCAGAAAAACGCTAAGACGAGACTGAACATCGTGACTGGTCGTAATTAATTCCTTCTACGTCCTTCTGAATTCATCATTCACTCCCATCCTTCCATTTCATGCCATGTAATTGCTAATTCTTCTATGTCCTTATAAATTCATCATTCACTCGCATCCTTCCATTTCATGCCATGTAATTGAGAAACTGTTAAATAAAGTAACAAGAAATTAATAACACGAAGCCCCACACATTCCTAACCCAAGCACCGTTTAATGGCGAGTGGTTAACTTTAATTTCCGGATGCCTTCCCCCATCCTTTCCACTTACAGTCTTCAAAAAGATGGTTCTTATTGGAATGAGGACTGCAAGGGACCAAGAGTCTTTCTGGAGACGATAACAAAGTGCAAAATTTTTACTGCTATCTGCAAACTAAACTGAACACAGGTCATCCTCTCGTTACAGACCGAGTTACTGCAGCGCCTCAAATCATTCATTTAATAACTAGGTGAAATATACAAAGCACACGTCTCTGCATGATATAGCATTACTAAGCCACTGGGCAATCTGCAAGAGTAATAAATACAGCGAACTGCCGTTAATGAGTTAAAATAATTCAGGCTCTTATATTTTTCACAATGGCCGCACTTCCACACGTGAAAGCACCGAGTGATTGCTTACCTTTCTCTTGGTCAAGCGGGGGCAACATAGAAGTGTCGCGACACACTTTGAAGTAGACCTCCTGCTGGGAGCCAATAGGAAGAGCTCCTGGAGGGATAATTATAGCCACGCCTGTGTCTGGGCTGCTCAGTGTACCCCCCTCGTGGGTAAACAACCCCCTGGCCGTGGCCACCACCTCCTCACCGTCACCCCCCTCACCAACTTCTCCTCCACCCCTACGGTCACGTGAAAATACCAGGTTAGTTCACCACACACACCACAAGCAAGCCCAGCGAGAGGTCAGACAGACAGAAGAACCAACCCTTCAAGCCTTCAACAGCTAATTTATTTTTTGAAAACAACGTAAAGTTACGCTACAACTGTTCTGCTTCCTATCTGCCTAACTGTGCTCAAGCACAAAATTTAACATTTCGTTACTAAGGTGAACGAAGAATCTACCGTTTATTATTTAAACATTTACATAAGAAGCATCCATTACAATAGATGCAGAGCTGATATTGGTTAATTACAGTGAAAGAAAAGGATTACAAAAAAAATCTCATAAGAAAATACATAAAGCTAAAACAAATAATACACAAGAACAACAAAAAGGAAAGATAAAGTTAAATAGAATAAGTACACTCATGGAGTACCAGATAATATTTTTTGAGTTAGTACCGAAAGTCTTTCGGACTTTGCTCATTGTCCTATATTCTACAACCAGAACACTACATTTCAGAAGCTGGATCTGCCTCCATCTTCGGGTGAAGGGTACATACATATGGGTCGACTAGAAGACCATCGTACGACACGAGACAGAAAACAGAAATTACTTGCGCTGAGACCATCGTACGACACGGGACAGAAAACAGAAATTACTTGCGCTGAACTAAAATGCATTTCCTGAAATACTTTTTTTCTTCTTAATCTCTATGTACCACGAAGACTACAATTTTAAGCTATTTAGTAGCGCGTGTTATAATTTATTGTAGTTCTGTCTGGACTGCAATCATGACATGCCCTACAGAAACTTTAAAATTAAATTAAATTATTGATTATCTAATGTTAGGTTATTTAAAAATGTACAGCTGTAGAGGTGATATAGTGCCACATTTCATAAGTCCCAAACTATGGGGTCGTTTTACGCTAGTTTCTAATACATTTCATCCACACAGCCTCCCACTTTTTCTGGTTATGTACAAACAAATATGTACATCACATGCAATTCATTACGTACGCTGTTTAGATACAAAACAACATGTACATGTGCTTCAAGGCATTCAGTCATGCTGTCGAGTGCACTTCAGAACCAAAGCGAAAGTTTAGTAATACAAGTTCAAAAATCAAAAACTCTGTTTACATTTTAAAAGAATAAAATGTAATTCAAAATTATATGCTTTTATTCTTTCGGCATTACCTTGAGCGCCCAGAGTGCAGACTAACCTGAGATTACTGTCCAGATAGTGGTGCAAGGCAGCGCTCGGTTTCTTGTACAGTTCAAAAGCGGAACCCCTCTGCTCCCGGTTCGCGAGGTCCAGCAGGCCGCTCGGCTCCCGGGCGTGGTGATGACCGGTCCCGCTGCCACCGTGGTGATAATCGCTGCTACTATTGCCACTGCGGTTAGGAGCTGGAATGTTGTAATAGTACTGTCCGCGGTGCAGTGCAGTTCCGGGGTTATAGCTGCGGTCGAGACTACTGCCGTGTCCCGAGTCAAACCCTCCGCTTGTATCCTCTCCTGTAACGAAGCGTACCATCAGACAAGTGCTTAGATGTTAGTAGATTAACTTTTCATACTTTACAGTATGAGTACATAAAGAGCATGACTTTATTTTACTTACCGCCATTGTGCTGAGGCATGTAACCTGCAGAATCTAGTCCCCCTGCCACAGAGTATGACTTGGCATGCTGGTACGAGGGCAAGCCTGTCGCCTGCTGTTTCAGCATAGACGCCACAGTTGAGTCCGCGTCTCCACAGGGTTGGGCCGGGTGTCCGCTCCCATAACCCCAGCTGCCTCCGCCTGCACCCCCTTCGGGGGCTACGGGTGGTCGATAGTTTTTAGGTTTTGGCGGGGGTACAGGCTTATAAGCGCCAGTCTTGGGAGGAGGCAAAGGTTTATATTCACCAGGTCTGAAAACAAAGAGGCCACAAGCTGCACAAACTACGCTACAGGAAAGGCTGTACCTGGCACACAAACTAGCGACACAAAACAATATTTTCATCTGATTACTTAACGCAGAGAAATTAAATACAGATAAGTGGAAAGGACAAGCTGCAAGTAATATATTCTGACAAGCACAAAATGAAAGAAGAAAATGTAAAAGTAAGACTCCAAGCGCATGTATATGAAACAAAAATTAGGAGCAGAAATGATATGATAAAGTTCAAATAACTAGATACAAGAAGACGAAAAACATCTAAGAAACATATGAATTTCATAAAAATGAAGACAAACAGCCACATGAAAACAAAGCAGTAACTTGTCGGATCACATTAACAATAAAGCAGTAACTTGTCGGATCACATTAAATAAAGCAACGAGGCAAGAGGAATTCCACGGACGGATTTTTATCGGATAACAAAGCTGAAAGGAGATGTAATTTGACAGTCCTAACTACGCTCCAAATGTTTCTTCATGTGCATGTTACTCATGCAAACTGCTGTACCTCAATCCTGGTCAAAAACAGGTTTTTAAATTAACCATGGAAGCATTTGAAAGGGTTAACATAAGAAGGTAGAAAACTTCCCTAGATTATTTCTGATAACACGTCAAAATCGTTTCAGTAGAAAACCGACTAAACAATTTATTTTTCAGACCACATATTACAAAAAAAAAAAAACTACTGATAGAACTTTGAGGTTAAACATTTTTATAAACTGTGCAGTGCACTGACAACTATCTAACTGCAATGCATATTTCAACACAAATTACTTAAGCATGTACGTGGCACTAACACTAGCAGCTCACACCAAAGTGTGCTGCCTGGAAATGAAAATACGAGACGCCTTCACAACAGGAAGCGCGGCATAAGTCAGGAAGCGATGATCAATGCACGTGCTGTAATCAGACAAATGCACATGTCTGACTATAACTGGGACTGACTCATTCCAGAAATGTCACAAACATTCTTTTCTCAGCCTTCCATTTATTGACTGCTACCACAACGCATATCACCAAGCAATTTGTTACGACCCACAACCTAGTAACTGCCCAGCGTTAAATAGCATTTACCTCAACCCCAAGAGGAGTTTATGGACTAGAACCCACTCTTAAAATGACTTAAGGTACTCCCCTAGAGTCGCTTCTATTACGACGGGAGAGTGGATAACCGCAGGAACCACTCGCTGAAGACACGGTGCCAACCAGATAGTTAGATAATTCGCGACCCAACGTGTATAAATCCAACACTGCCCTCAGCCGTTTAGAAAAAACAAAGTGGGTCCTCTGCCCCAGATCCATGTTCTGTAGAATGAGATCCACAATCTCAAACTCCTGAGAAAAACCTGGCAAAACCTCAGCAGCATTAACCACGCTCTGGCACCAATTTGCGCCCCACTGGCGACGTGAAAAGATAAACAATAACTCCAAAGGCCAGGAGGTGGTATGGTCACAGGATTATTGCTGGGGGTAAACCCCAAAATACAAAATATTGAAAAGAATCCCTTGTTCTTGCATTTTCAAAACACCCCTTGAAATAAAATCACCCATCTTGTCTACCCTAAAACTGAAGAGTCAATACAGAGATTCAAATCCTGAACTTGGATTATGATCATGTTTGCATACCTGTATTTATTAAAGTCTGGCAGTTTGTTGGCTTTCTCATTCTTATTGGCGATCGGCTGAGCTGTGGAGCGTGTAAATCGATACGGATCGTGGTTTCGAGGAGATACGCCAGTTCCGTTATTGGTTCCGCACTTGAGGTCGTCATGAGCATTAGGACCAAGGCGATTGTTGTATGAATCATATGATGATACGCTATCAAAACTACTCTGTAAAAGTAAATTACATTTCTGTAACACTTCAATGGATCAGTAATACCAAACGTTAGGAATCAAATGTCACGCCTTTTGAACAGGTCTTAAGGACTTCTTGTACGTCTTATTAGCCCTATCCAGACCAATGGCTACTGTGTTATTTCCGTAGTAGCAGAAGACTATTTACTGGATACTGGGAACGACCCGTTCTTCAAGTGCCTGAGCACTGCGGGTCCAAACTTTTCGTTGGCTAGATCTATAGCCATTCGGTAGGACTCCTTGGACGAGGGATCGGCCCGTCGTAAGGCCTCTACCTGTTCACAGGACAGCACAACACAACGTCCATGGCTTGAGTGGGATTCGAACCCACGGTCCCAGCGACCAAGCGGCACAAGGCCCACGTCTCAGACCGCGTGGCCACTGCGGACCCCAGAAGACTATTTAACATTAAGAAAACTTACTCTTGCACTGGAGATGAAAAATAAACAACAAAATCATCACATTCAACGACATCATCATTCATAATAACGTTATGAACATTTATCAGGTGTAAAATGGATGAGGTTTGGTGAGGGACTAAAGTATACAAACCGTTGGCAACAGGGATGTGATAACAAACTCCACCCCACTTACTGTTTTCATGTTGTGCCGCTCCAAAGAAGAGCCTGTCTGCCCTGGAGGTCTGTGATGAGGGGTAGCATTGATGTAGTTTGGAGGGTCCAAACTGGAATCTGCAGGGTCCCCCAGTCCACCATCACCCTTCCCAAACAGACGTTCAGCAGCTGACCTACTCAACGTCCCACCACCTCCCCGATGCGGTTTGTTAGAGCGATCGATTCTCGGAGGCAACTCTGGCGGACCCTGACCCGGAGGAGACCTCGTCACAGGGGGTCCCAGTCCCTGATGCTGATGCGGATGCGGTGGGGGGTAGTTAAGATGCATCGTTGATGAAGTTATGGGGGGTTCGTCATGATGAGGTGGAGGTGAGAAGCCATATTTACTGTCGCCTTGTGACCGTCGTTTGTTGCTCAGTGACAGTGCTAGGTTGTGACTGTGGCCCCCATGGTGATGGTGATGACCGTGGTCTGATGGACTCAATCCACCAGCTGATCCATTGTGACTCTCATAATTCTGAAATTTGGAAGGCATATTTACAATTATGTAGTAAAACCAAATGTCAAACTTGACATCACAAACCGGGGTAACGTTGTATGATAACACAATGCAGACAGTTGTCACATTATTACCTCTAACGCGATTTGGTGTTGTGCATCCATTGTTTCTACTATCTTTTAATTGGAAGCAATAGGAACTCCCCTCTCAATACCTATGGCTCTTATAAATTTTAATATTTTCCACAACATGGCATATAAGACCAAAACACTGAAATTAAACTGAAACTATGTAACTTTTAAAGAATGGACATTCACCTGTTTGTAGTGGTTGCTAGAAGAGTAGGGTGGAGGCGCACTGTAACTGGGAACCCCTCCATCCTCTTGCGTGGCAATGCTGGGGTCGGACGAGCTCTTCACAAGGCGAGGGGGCCCAGGCCCTGGTCCTGGTGGGGGGGCTGTGGATCCAGGAGGGACAGCACAGCGGGGCTCTGGGGAGAGGTCCAGGTCTGACTCTGGAGACGAGGCGTAGGAAAGGCGCGAGGTCATGGGGAAGAGAAAGTCGTCAGACAGAGCTTCATCCGGCTGCAGAACACAACACAACAGGCACAGGTTAGACACCAACTAACAAGACAACACATGAGGCACATTTTACATGCGACGACTTGCAAACGACACAAAACATCCAAAACATATTGTTTGATTTGATTGACCAAATGTTTGTGTGCAGACAATTATTATACATTTATCACTAAGTAGCAGCGTCATAATATGAAAGAATTAAAACGACAAAGGAATGGGCTTCTACACATTCTGCGTTACATATCACACTGACATACATCAGATAATCATTGCCTCTAGTGGAAAGCACTTCACAAACTCCAGTCAAGCATCTGATATATTCAACTCTGTACGTAAGGACCCTCAACACTTAACAAAGTTGAATAGCTGCCACAAATAGATAAATTCACAACAGCAGAGTAATCTTTGTGAACTGGTAACACTGGACATGAAGTAGACAAATCTCAACAGACCACCAAGTTCAGTGTCAATCCAGTACTGTTTTCATAAAAATTTATCAAGAAAGAAATTTATAATTAAAATCCTAATTGAATTCATGCAGAGCTCAGAATATCTAAACTACACATTTTAATTTTTATGTTATTGTTTTACGCGAATAATTCGATTCTTTGTCAGTTCAAAGTGGAATTTCAGATTGCCAAACACAAAACAAAATACAATCAAACAAAATGAACATGAGTACAATCAATAACATTTGCAAACATAGAATTCAAGAATATGCATCAACATAACCTCACAAACATGCATAAACTCACATTCTACACTAACAAGCATCGTGCTCACATCATAAATTACTTTCCAGCATAATCTGTTTGACTCAAAGACCTAAGTGTCAGGAAGAAAGCATGAACTGGAAGGTTTGTGCATAGTTTTAGCTACACCGCAGAATACGCCACTTTCTAAACGTTGGGTTTTGCTGGCATCACGCACCTAACCTGTCCCCTGAGAAGTCACAGTAATGCTGGGCTACGATTAATGATTTACCACATCATGTTATATGCACCATACCCTAATTGCATCAAAGCAGCTGATTTACAAAAAATTCGTACATAAAATAAAATACAAACCTTATTAATGAGAATTTTTACTAATATTTTTTATATGACGAATATTTAACAAAATAAAAAAATCAGAGTGTGTTCAGTGTAATATTTTTATACATTTGATATGTAATTTAAATTATATAATAAAAGGCCACTGATGAATACATCTGGAAAATACATATATGCGAAGGGAAAACACATTTTTATGTATCATATGGATGGAAAAGATAAATGTCCACTGTGGACGTAACTGTGAAGCCAAATGCTGAAATTCCACAGCAAATAAAAACAAACACAAATTATGAGGTCAGGTGAACAGAGGGGTGAGTCACATTTGTTTATGAACACCGAAAGGGTGAGACTGCTAAATAAACAATGCCAGCAGCAGTGATGTGGAAGAGCGAAGAACTTTGTAATTCAACCTCAAGTTGAGAAAATGCACTCTTGTCACATAACACAGGCATATTTTAGTAAAATCATCGCCAAATTGTCTAAAATATTAAAAGACGAAGGCACAGAAGTAAATTAAATATAAAACGGTGATGGTGATTATTAAATGAACTTTCGTTTTTAAACAACAAAAAAAACGGGAAGATGGTAAATTTCCAAAAAAATATATGTCAATTACAACATACTTCTAAGAGTTTTCACCACCTATTTTAGAAATAAATTTTCTATTACCAGTCAGTGTACATGAAGACCACAGAAAAATTTAATTTACAAATAATAAATTTTGAAAATATGTGTACTCCATTTCCACATCTGTTCTCTTGCGTACTGTACAAAACCTGCTTTGCTCTATGCCCTACGGTATCATTGATTCCAACATTACGATGTGAGGCCAAAGGTAGTTTGACAACAAATATAGTTTGGGAAACAATGTCTTAATGCCACTACAGATTATTTGAAAAATACACAGTTCTTATAATGCTGCTTGGATATGTTCATTTGAATTTTAGTAACATCTATTCACCTGCCGCTGGCCAAGACTTCTAAACCTAAAACACTCCATGCAACACTCAAATGAAGCCAAAGTACTGCTCAGTGACCACAGGAAGGAAACTGTTGTTGTTGTCCAACAAATGGCTGGGTTCAACCAGGATTTCATATGGGGACAAGTATGGAGGTGGAGAGAGGGGAAGGGGCACCAGATACATGTCAGAGAGGAACTCGATCGGCTGACAGATCAGAAAAGAACACATTAGTAACACGAAAAATATGGCAGGAAATTTCACTACAAGTTTCACTGTGAAAAGTAAATGCCATCTTCTTTCTTAAGTATTTAAACACTAATGACTCGTAATCCTTAACGCGGCAGCCGCAATGCCTGTAATGGGCAGATAACACCACTTCTTTCCCAGAAATACAACACAAAATTGCCCAGCACCGACCTTTTTGAAACTGTTGTTAAGTATCAAAATGTCATCAGCTGCTACCTGAAGGGTCCAGTACACACCAATAAAATTCATATTTTATTTATTTTTATTTAGTGTTCTGTCTGACGACAGGCCCATATGAACAGGATCCTTCCATCCTTTTCTCGGACTGGGACCTGTTCATATACGTTCTTGGCAGATGATCCAGAAGTGGTTTGCCATTGCCTTCTTCTGTGTGTGAATGGAGTAATTGTTGGGATGCCACGGAGGAAAACTCCGTGTTGCCTAGACCACGGCCTTGCCCAACACAAGTTATAAATTCGGGCACCGCCGGGAATCGAACCCGAGACCCCAGGATTACATGGCCAGCATTCTAACCGCTAGACCACTGTGGCGGTAAAATTCATATACCTGGCAAAAATAATTGTTAATTACTTTTACTTTTAGGTTTCATACAAGAACGTCAAATCTGAAATATGACTTAGCACACTGTCTCACGGATTACCTTGCTCTCGCTCATCCACACAGGAGCACTCTGCTGCTTGTCTATGAGCTCCCTCACCTTCCTGTACCAGGTTTCTGGGCTGGTGAGTGTGATACTGCAGCTAAACGTGTGGCCCCAAACCTTCTCCAGCTTTTGGCACTGCTCAAATAGCTTCTTGCTGCTTTTGTGTGCTGCCCTACAAACAGAGCCACAGTGTCAGTCCGTCCCGCATCTGTTAACGTCCTCCTCTTTCCATCTAACAAACGGATTCTTAGGCAAGTTTTGAAATTATGCACCAGTTGTCGGGCATATTAGTGTGGCCGTTCACGTGAAATAACTTCGTTCTAAATGAACGGACTGTAAAATGATGACTTTCTTTTGGGATGTTGCACTGTGTAGTCAAGTAGGGCAAACACCCTGACGATGGAGGTAATAAGCTTCTTTGAAATGTCAGTCAGTCTCTACGAGACTACACAGTGCAACATCTCAAAGACAACCACCTTCAGACTCACCAACATGTGAACCTGAAATATAACCTAGATTTCTTAAAAATATTCGGTGTTACGAACCTTTGGTAAACTTTATCACCAAAACTAAAATCTGTTCCTGGTTAGAAAAAAACAAGCTGCTATGACATTACCTGACCCAAACACCAAAAGTAATGTTTTGCAGTATATTTAAAAAAATACTGAATACACAAAAATACATTTTGTTTGGAAGAAAATTGTCACCACTAGTGAGACGTGAAATGTAATATATAACATAAAATCCAACATAACTACAGATTGCCTTATTTATTCGCGTACTTACTACCCTTCTCTTCACTGTAATCATTTTACTTCAGACCGCTTGATAAACTCGGAAGCGAGCGAATTTTCTTTCTGCTCCCAAGACACATTATAAGTAGTTGGAATTTTCAGCATGACACATTAAGAAGAAATTAGCATTGACAGGCACTTTGCTGCATTGAAACTAAGAAAATCACCTTTCCTCTCTTCATAAAGCTTTCTTTTCCATTTCCAATACCAAAATTCCCACAAGCACTAAGCATTCCTCAATACATTTTTCCTACACATATGAAATTTATGAACACAAAGATGAGGAATAACACGAGTAAACACAAAATATACAAACATTATACATACCTCACAAGTAACAATAAAACCCACAGGAAGTTAAAGAAATCAGTAACTACACCAGATAAAGAGAGACGTTGAAAAAAGAGGTAAGAATTCGACAGTGCTTCCGGTTAAGATATTAATATGAACAGAATTAAATGAAGGTGTTTTGTAAACTGACCCAAATCAACCATTATAAAGATTTTTGAGAACGTAAAATTATGAGCATTTAAAAACAGAGTTCAAAAATCCATCATTACAGTACAGTCCCTGAACCATTGAGTACTGACATTACTTTTAATTTTGATTTGACGGCAGTAAGTAATTATGTAGATGTAATAAATCATTAACTTCAAAATAATGTAAAAGTTTGAGGTTAAATCTGACAAATTTAATTTACTTGAAATCTGTACTAGAGAAAATTACGAACAAGAATAAAACAGTATAGTATAATTAAATATTAATTTAAAATTCTTCATAGCTTTATCATACAAACTAAAACATTTAAAAAATTTCAAGTTCCTTCGGGCCTATATATTTCCGTAATGAATAGAATGATCAACTTGAAACTGTTTTTATATTGTTATATCGTGTTGTTATAACTGTTATATCTATTAATATGCAGAAACTCCTGTCTGCGCCATCCATCATTCATGCTTCGCTTCTTTCCTTTAACCAGTAAGTGTATAAAGAAATGTTATTGGCATGTGAACCGAGACCACGGTACGATAAAAATTATACAAAAATAGAATCACGGTCAAAGCAAGCGGACTACAAGGAAGCATCAATGCACTTCAGTACTCACCAGCTGAAGACATCCACGAATGAGCTAGCAATGAAACAAATACAGCATTACTCATGTGTGGTACGCATTTCAGATACAGTGGCTCCCAAATAACTCAACTCTCTATTGCAAAAGCACTAATTACACTTGCAAATATACTTTTTAGCAAACAACCTCATTCAGAAACCACTGTTTTAAACTCTCTATTCCAAAGCACTAATTACACTTGCAAATATATTTTATAGCGAACAACCTCATTCAGAAACCACTGTTTTATGTATGGGGCTCAAATTTAGCAGTCTTCTGTAATAAGCAGATACATCATGCGCCTCCGACAACTACAAAACAAGAATTAGCAATTCGTGCATTATACAATGTAATACTAACTAACTAACTAACTAGATGGCTTACCGAACCCGAAGGTTCATCACCGAATTAACCAAAGCCCTCCACCGGACCCTGTCCTGGGCCAACAAAATCCAGTTTCCTTCAACTCCTATCTCGGATAGATCCCGCCTGAGATTATCCTCCCATCTACGTCTAGGTCTCACCAGCGGTCTCTTCCCTTCAGGTTTCCCAACCAGTACCCGGTGCACACCTCTTGTCCCATCCATGCGCGCTACATGCCCAGACCATCTCACTCTTCTCGACTTAATCACCCTCACAAGACTGGGGGAGCAGTACAGATTTTTAAGCCCGTCATTGTGCAGTTTTCTCCACGCCCCATCGTCTTCCCTCTTAGGCCCAAATATCCTCCTCAACACCCGATTCTCAAACACCTGCAATCTGTGTTCCTCCCTCTGAGTGAGAGACCATGTTTCGCACCCATACAAAACAACAGGCAAGATTATTGTTTTGTATTTTTTAGCATTGTTAAAAGATTTTGAGATGAACTTCAAGGCTGGCTAGTACGGACGAGACACTTTCGGACGAACCGGAAGGCTTCGCATAAACCAACATAAAAAGCTCACATATATTTAGATCAAACTGAGGGCTTTGAATGCGTTCAGATCAACCTGGGATACTGGATACTGGGAATGACCCGTTCTTCAAGTGCCAGAGCACTGCGGGTCCAAACTTTTCGGTGGTTCGATGTATAGACATTCGGTAGGACTCCTTGGACGAGGGATCGGCCTGTCGCAAGGCCTCTACCTGTACACAGGACAGCAGAACACAGAAAACTGCGGACAAACATCCATGGCTTGAGTGGAATTCGAACCCACGGTCCCAGCGACCAAGCGGTACATGGCCCACGCCTAAGACCGCGCGGCCACAGCTGACCCTACCAGATCAACCTGATGGTTTGCTAATAATGCGAAAACACATAGCAACCAGAAGCTTCTCTAGCATTGCTAAAACACTTTCTGACCAAGATCAGGCTTACTAATGTCTCAAATCAACGTGATATGATAATACTCTTGCCCAAACAACAAATAGTAATTATCAAACACGAATGTGCCCGACACAGACAACATTTTTTCCCCCTAAAATTAATCAAACTTTGAGAGGTGCCTACAAAATGTTTTCAGTTCTCCTGCGATGTGCTGCATTATACCTCTGATTTTAGGGGACTTCCATTACCTACTTCAAACATAGCGTCTACAAAGCAATACAGACTGCAACTTTACAATCAACTTACTTTGACAGCCCTGCCCTGAGCTCTTTTATGATATGTTTAGACTCGGCACGCAGGAAAATGACTATTGGGTAGAACTGAGCATAGTTTAGCCTGTCAACTGCATTTGGCGTGATATCCAGCAAGGCATGCTTTCCCCGGTCCATGATCTCACGGATTGCACTCAGACGGATGATACCAGATGACTTCTGACTCTTCGGAACTTCCTCTAAGTTGCTGTCCAACTCTGGAAAAATAGCAGCAGACACATTTTCTCACGTCTTATAGTCAAAATTGAATCTCCAAGAGATCCCATTTGGTTTGTAATATCTACCACAGGCCAAACAGTTCTAAAGTTGATGATAATTATGATCGTGATGGAATTACGTCATCCTCATATTATCATCAAATCAAATCACTCTAATTGCAAATATGATCTTCTGTGAGCCATCTGTCACATTAAAATCAATTTACAGTGCATATGCATGATATATATATATACACACAAGTAAGTTCACCGTCCACTTACGCGGGGAGGTAAACTTGTCGGGGAAGTCCTTCAGCATCTTCTCACGAGCGATATCTGCCACAGGACCAAACAGTACCACAGGTCGCACAAAGCCCGGGTGCCTCAACACCACTCGCTCGTATGCCGGGAACTTACTGATGCTATCGGCAAATACAACATCATCCCAATGGTCCTGAAATACACGGCATTCCAAGACAGGTGTAAACCACAGATGAACACAAATTCTGCAGCAAAACACATTACCACCCAAATCGCGATAAATATTCTCTTCAATTTTAGAGTAATAATCAATGAATAAATTCCGTTTGATGCATTTATTGATAAAATTATTTATTTACTGACAGCACAAACCTTTATGATTATGTCCCAGGTAGATAAAATCTATACTAGCATGAACTTGCGCAGATGTTACACAATTATGTATTTCAAAGATCTCCACGTTTTCCTAGAACATGAGCCTTCACGACAGGATGTAAGGTGACTTGCGCTATGAATCAGCGCCATTTTCACTCACCCTGCTGAGTGACTTGGAACGCCGATGACTGCCACGTCTACGTCTAAAGAAGCTGCCCCGACTCTCAGAAGCCGTCAGTTCTTTTTTGGTGGCATTGAACTGTGCTGTTGCCAATTCTTCAGCACGCGACTTGTTTGGGATGATGCCCTTCTGAACCTCCTGATTATTTCTCCCTAAGGCATTAAACTATTAATTAATATGGATGTAAGGTCACTCAAGGTGAGATTCAATTGATGTAACCATATGTAAAATACTCATAATTTATGCCATGTACGACTATTCTTTTCATATAAAATATAACTAAAAGGTGGCAACACAGTTCAAAATTAAATTCGCTTCACAAATTTTAATTTAGAACCACCAATACAAAACTTGACAGAAATTTGTCAAACACTTTCAGACTTAAAATGTGCAGACATGATCTTCATTGTCTGTTCATTTTCTACACTTATTCCCCATTTTCAAAGGCCCTACATTTATGATATAAGCACTTATCAACGGATAAGTACACTCACCGATGCGGAACACCTGCCATGAACCGACGACACCATTGTGAAGAGTGTCGACCACGTGGAACACGTCGCCTTTCCGAAAACTCAGTTCGCCCTTATTTGGCTGATCGTAGTTGAAATGAGCTCTGCGGATAAACGAAATAAAATGTCTCACTAAAACGAACACTTGAGAAGTTGCACAAATTTGTAGTAGCACGTAAGACAGTACTTGGTAAAATAAAAACTTTCTTACATTACTCTTTCAAGGGACTTTATATTGCAGTACAGCAGAACACTAATGAGAACTCTTTGGATAGCGTAGTAGCAGCCATGAAATACAGTCAAGTAACTATAATACTTAATCTCTCCTGAGGAGGAGAACGCTTGCCAACAGGTCTGTGGAACATAACCTCACAACCCACTTCATTAACATCGTCCCACCCATGAATTAATCTCCTTTCCCCTTCTTTCCTGCTAGAATTATGTAAAATTTTGTGATCTCAAACCCTTTAACTTAATGAGCCCAATAAATATAGATAAAGAGATTCTGGATCGTAACGTCACGTGGATTTGTCGGCAGATAACGTTTTAGACGCATGTATTGCCGGTATCTTCGGGGCTCAAGTCCACATGGCATTACGGTCCACAATAACAACATGGATACAGGTAAGAAAATTCCTCACTTGATATGAAACGAGTCTCCTCGCTGACTGGCCACTATCTGTTCATACTCGTCTTTCCGATACTGAACAATGAGATCAATCTGGTCCTGCAGACTGAGCAGGAACAATACAGCCTCCTCTCTTGTTACTCCTTTCATGTCCATGTCATTCACCTGTGACAAATCTTGTATTTAACCCTAACCTTCCATAATAATACATGGGCTAACTTTTAATATCTCAACCCATGACAAACTGTCCTTACACATAAATCTGTATATTGCGCCGTCTTTTGAGTCCTGTGTGGACGTCATGAAAACAGCATAATCTCTTATCAGCGGACTCACCGGTATAGTAGTATCGATCTACATTTACATTCAAGGTGTGCAAATCAGATCTCAGCAGGATTACCAACTATCTGGTGGGTTTTTTTTTCCATTTATTCATTTATTCTCTCCAACTGAATGCTGGGATAGTACTTTCGAACATCTTCCATAACCTAACCCATTCACTACTCATCACAAACCCAAACTACCGACTACTCTCGACAATCTCATTTAATCCAAAGCTTTATAACCACTGAAGCTGAAACAGTGTTATAAGTAACAACCACTCCTTCCACATCCTTTCCAATTCATTACTCACTAATCATCATATCAATTAAAGATACGCAGACTGAGGTACTGACACACTGTTAAATAAACCATAAATAAATATTTACAAACTACAATTCTGATACACAGAGACAGACATAACGGAATGTTAAATTGGACAGCCGTAGCATGATGTACCTTGAGTATCTTGTCTCCTGGCTGTAAACCTTGCAGGGATGCTGGGCTTCCAGGTTGGACAGCAGTAACAAATATACCCACCTCATTACCGCCGGTCAATCTGATGCCGACAGATCCCTCTTTCTGAAATGTGATGAAACGAGGATCTGGCCTGCAAAAAGAAGGATTGAAGACACTCTACGATACTGAGATAATTCAGGGGCATCCAACACTTGGTCAAAGCGGTGAAGGCAGATGGAGGAAAGTCACTAGTTCAGAAGGTAGCCGTCTTCTGGAACGTCGTAGCCTGGTAGAAAATGAACGACGTTTCGAAAGTGCTCATCACGGCCCAAACAACAAAGGCAGTAAGTACCTCTGAAACCCTGTTTTATAAATATATTAAGCTTGTAAACATTTTATATTATATTAGTTAAATACGAGACTGCATTATATAAATATAACCGGAGCTGGCAGAATTTTCTAATCCGGCTACAAAATAAGGCGTATCGAGAATTATTATTAACGCTGGCAAGAAGAAATTAAAAATTTCTGGCACAAGGATTAATAACAGAAAAGACTGTGGTGATGACGTCAGATAACGGCCTCCTCTTTCTTTATTTAATTCTTTCTACTAGAGGAAGTGGGGTTTGCTATTCTTGCAGAACGGACTGAGGGCCACTCACATGGGCTGCTTGGAGCGCTGGAGCAGGGGATCATCTTCATACAACTGCCTTCTGCTGTTGCCACTACTACTGTAGTAATCTGTAAAAGAATAAAGCCGAGTGAACATGTGCCCTGATACATACATTTTGATGATGATATGAAGCTCGTCTGAATAACATTAAAAACTTCAGATCTTACCTCAAAGATAACAAAGCATGTCTCCATTAGAAAGATCAAAAAGTTAATGCTGTTTAAGAAATAATCACTGTTTACTCTGCTGCTTATTCCTGTCTTCTGAAATTTTATCTGGCAAGGAAAGTACCTACATGCACTCATACGCCGAGAAATAATGAGATTAACATTGGAAGGGCACAACTCGCCTTCTGGTCGAGGGGGAGGTGGCCTGGGTGGGCTGCCCAGGGGATCTGGTGGTCCCAACGAAGGAGTTCCATCTTCCAGTCCGCTACGTGGACATGAGTGTGAGTGAGCGTGGTGATGAGGAAGACCAACGGGCGTCGCCGGTCGGTCTAGCTGACTCAGCGACACGTCAAGAAGCGGGCCTCGTGACCGACCCCTTGGGACTAGGTTACTTTTATCCTCCGCCAGATTGTGTTGGTGTGTTGAGTGGCTACTCCGTGTTGGCGGTTGCACATAAAGATTCTGTGACGAGTAATTCGGTCCACTCAGTCCATCCAGGTAGTTTCCGTGTGAATCTGTGTATGAATTCCCAAGTGAATATCATAGTATCATATCACCTTACATCACCGGTGTGACCTCACAGCTTAGGTCTCTATGTGCCTGCTCCAAATTCGTCATGATAAACTTTAAAAAAAGGTAGAACAATTATATTCATCTTGAGAATTACAATGGCTCTTTATGGAGCAGAAATTTGGCAACTCTTGGAACAACAAAATAATAAGTTGAGAATAATGGAAATGGATTTCCTAAGAAGAGCGGCTGGAAGGATTAGAAAAATCATGAGGATGGATCGAGATATAATTGAGGAGATAGAGAAAAGACAACTGATTTGGTAAGGACACGTGCAAAGGATGGAGGAGGAAAGGTTACCAAAACTATGAAATGGCAACCAAAAGAGAGAAGGAAGAGAGGAAGATTGAGACCAGGATGGAACGACGGAATTACAAGAATCATGATAGAGTGGAAACTACCTCCGGAAGGATGGGAAAATAGAGAAGAATGGAAGAAAATATTAGGGACCGGAAGACCGAAGTAACGGTCAAGAAACGGAAGAAGAAGAGAGACTTACGATCAATAACTCACAATAAAAATAAATGTCTCATGTTTTTAGTGGTTGGCATCTCTGGTGGTGAAGTCTCAGACTACCATCCCATCGCTACCTACCTTTGGGCAGAGCTGTCGACTCAACGCTGGTGCCTGGCTTGTGTTCTCTTCTGACCACAAGATTCAACTTCTCCTTACTCGCCTCGATAAGTTTGCGGGCATCTTTGAGGCTGAGTCCCTCTGTGGTGTGGTTGTTGATCTTCAGAAGAATGTCCCCTTCCTGCAATGACCCCCCACTGTCCTTTCCTCCACTGCCGTCCAACGTCGCTCTGTTTGCCACTTCTCGGACATAGATCTTGCATCCCAACACCAGACCAAAGTCTGTACATCACATATTCATATTACCGTCAGTAAAAATTATCAGATACTTCGAAGTTTACTAAAGTGTAATGAGAATTCACAACTAGCAAAAAAAATTAATTTTATCATTGGAATATGGGATTTATATATCCCTGATACAACTCCAGGGTTATCAGTTTAGTAATACGCTAGTGCAGCGCACATTTGGCTGGATCTGGCGTAAGCAACGCCTATGTGGTATAATATTAAACTATCTAAATAATAAAAAATGCTGCTTGCTGATTATTTCTTAACGTTTAGGCATGCCAGCTATTACGACATAAATTTATGAAAGTGTTTCGTTATTACCATTGCCAGGATATAGCAATTATTTGTCGTTAGTGGATTTTGGGCTTTACGGGATGTTATTATAACCACTGCCATAGTAACGATGTTACGATAGGCCTACTATATGCAAATTACTACTAGGCGGTACAAATTTTATAACCCGGATCTAAATTAAAGATTACAGTACAGCTCTCAGTCTGGAGATGAGCTATGCTGACTAAGGTTTTGTAGTTTTCCTCAGCCCCTTCACACAAATGCAGTGTCAGTACCTTGAATTGGGGCATGACTCCGCACACCCAGAGTTACAATTCCAGGTGGCAGGCCACGTTATATGGATCCGAAAACGCTGTCCCTTACCAAGAAGGTTATTGCGCTTACTGTATATTACTGAGAAACATGATGACTATGAAAATATAATTAGAAAAGATACAAAAGCTTTGTTTCAGGGTACTGCAAAAGCAGTTGCCGAGAAGAACCGAGGAAAGCCTCAATCAGAACGACCAATTTCCTGGACGTGTCGGATCACATCCGCTGATCGCTACTATGAGACATCCGGTCCCTGGTGTGAACAGGTGAAGAACAACCCCAAATGAGGTGGCTCACCATCTTTCTTCTTGCTTTTGGTGAGGCTCAACTTGAGTGTCTGGGGCTCTGGACAGGCTGGCAACACGACTCTTCGCCTCACCACCAGCAAAACCGTGTTCCCACTGTCTCGCAACACCTGCACGGCCGTAGCGTACTCCACATTCTCAAGAGACACTCCATTGGCACTGATGATCCGGTCGTTCACTCTAGAAACATACGCAACCACCTTCACTGGCAATGAACATTTGAACTAAAAAAAAGCAGATGATTTCTTGATGAGCTGAGTCGTGTTTCTCAAATCAAACTACTGCACAGTTTAAGCTACGATTCAACACATTTAAGTGAGGTGATTTCACACACCTTTCTTCTTGACAGAGTAAATTAAAAGCAAGTTTACTATTTTTCGACCCGACAACTTACTAACTGTATAGGCCGAATGGAAGGGTATTATAATTAAGGACGAAACATGTGAAGAATCACTCGTGGGATATTTTACGAATCTGTGGTAGAAATATCCCGGAAGAATTTATATAAAAAAAGTTAACTGAAAGATAAAAACTCCACTCGCCTTGTCGAGATTTGAACAGTAAACTCAAGGACACAGGATTCCTGCCACTGAAAAACTAAACTATATTTACTCCGAGACCAGCCAAGGGCAAAGCTGGAGACGAAGCCTCTAATTTAGGGCCTATGGTTCTACCTAAATTCGGGTCCCTCGAACTACCTTCTGGCATTGCTTAGTTCCGTCACCTAACCTAACCAAATTAACACACAACAGGATCTCTGGCGCTACGCGGGAGCATGATGCAATAATTAGAAATATCACGAAAGCAATGAAGGGAATAATTGAAGTTTTCGCCGTGCACCCTCGTGTTGGCGCTGCGGGCGAATGACTGTTCTACCCATAAATGATGGGCCAGTAATTAAACTTAATGGGCCTCGTCACTGGGATATGCAGTGAAGTGGTTTTAAATCTGAAATCTGTCACTGGGGGGTGCGGCCCCATGATGCGCGGTCAGTGGCAGTGTCATAAATTGAGTAGAGAAAGCGCTCTTAATAATTTCCATGTGTTTCCTGCTTGCATTCCGTGCATTTTTCTCCATCTGTTCAAAGGAAGTGAACGAGTTACTTCGAATCGATTAACTGACTTCATGGAGCATTTATTCCCGAGATGACCAACAGTCAGACAAGAAATTCCTGCCTTTTATTGTACCCGAAGATTCATTACCATGCAGACAAAATCGCAGAATTGCTCGATATCCTTAGCCAAATCAATCCAATCCACAGATTTCCACCGTGTTTTAGATACACTTTAATATTATCATTTCATCTACACCTGGTTTTCCAGGTGGTCTCTTCCTTTCAGATTTTCCGGCCAAAACTTTGTATGTATTATGTTTTAATGCTACATACCCCACACATTACATCTTCCAAGACCTGATCAGCCTAATATTATGCTATTTTCAGTCTCATAAATATCTGACCAGAATGGGCAAATGAAAGGATGAGCCTTGTATTCAAATTCGCCGAGTGTAGTGAACGAAGTTGTCGGGAACCCGGTACGCAACCCTAAGCTTTTCATCTCGCTGCTTGTATTAAAGCGAGTTTCCCAGCCCAGTGACTCGGAACACGCCATCACAAAGAGACCTTCACACAGAGCAGGGGTCATGGACACCCGGTATTCTCTTGCTCACGATAAACCTCAACGTAACCACGAGAGGCGGGATGGACGCCTTACAGTAACGTAAGTCATGATCGGGAGAGGGGGGGGTAAACATCCCCGGTAAGCAATCGGGAGATCCTGGGTATTGTTCTCGGCCTGAAACTAGATTATCCTTTAGTCTCAATCCTGACGCCCTATCGATCGGCCTTCTTCGTGTACACCTGGGCCCATTTAAGAACTGGTACAACTTAGCGAGTCACCTCTGCCAGAAAGGGTACACGCAGCTTCTTATAAATCAACAGATTTGGGGCAATGCGAGTTCTGGTTATCGCGTCGGTGAGTCTGAAGACGACTGTCTTCTGCGACCTTGCGCTGCGTAGTCTGGTAGAAACTGGTCCTGATGATGGCAGCAGTAAAACCCACCGAAACGTATATCAATTTGTAACAACAGACTACACAGCGCAACATCCCAGAAGACAATCGACAACCTTCTTGCAACACGACGCCAAAAACTTGTCTGAAGGAAGCTGAAGAAGTCGATTGTGGTCAGTGAAGAAGGCACTGCCAGGCACCTACTGGAGCTTCCCCTCCGCTGGTCCCGCCTTCAAAACGTCCGATATAGCAATAGCCGGATCCCCGTTGGTAAAGTGCGGGTTGTCTCTCCCACCGCTGACGGCAATCCCAAAACCGTACCCAGGGACCCGGGTCAGGGTCACGTGATGGTACTCCCAGACGATACGCTCCCCGCCCTGAAACAAAAGAAATCACTCTCTCACTGCTACTGACGATTATATACGTACTGACACCTGATAGCCCTTGTAGGATTTGAGGTTTTCACGGCGGTGAGTCTGAAGATGGTTCTCTTCTCGGCTGTTACGCCGTGTATAAACGTGTATAACAGTCTTGTAGAAGTTTACCGACGTTTCGGAGGTCTTTGCTGCCTCCATCGTCAGGGTGCGATACCATTACAGCCGCAGGGGGGCTACGGATAAGTGACTTTTAACAACTCGCTGTTCAAATAATAAAAAAGTCTGTCATTTTGGAATGTATTTTTAATCGTAAGCCAGTGTGTAGTGGCATTTTTATTAGAAATTCTTTACTACACATAAGGCGGTTCACAAGGTGTGGTATTATAATCAGAGACAGCCATTTTCGGACTCAAAAGTCTTAGTAATCAGAGTTTAATGCCATGTTTTTGTCCTATCATCGGGCGCGACTGCTGTTTATATTAATAGGTCTTCAAGAGCCAGTCGTGGTTGAAAGAAGATTTTGAGTAGAGTGCAATTCTTGCATTTGGAATGTAGAAATTATTTGCGGGGTTGGGTCGCTTTGTTCGCTTCAAATTTTTCTTGTTTCTAAGGCAACGGTATGGTTATTGTCCCTCAGAGACCTCCGTACACGAAAAGTCGTAAAACGAATACGGGGATAAACGAACGTAGAAATGGCAGGATCGTTCACAGGAGAAACATAAACGCGAGGGGTGTGGAAGGAGCAGAATCTTGATTCTAAAGGAAATTCCATTTGCGAGGTCTCCGTGTGTCCAGCGACATCAGGGTGGCTACACTCGCCTCATGTCACTCGTCACAAAGCCAACAGGAGGAGGACATCGTCGTAAAATCATTTTCAGATTTATTTATTAAGACGTTCAGACACCAGTTCATCTCGCAGGGGAAAATATTTTTTAAAAGGAGAATTTCATCGAGGCAAAAGATTCAAGATGAAATTGTTCTTTTCCCGTGGTACACAATGCAGACGCGGAAACAGTCCACTGACATCGAACGTCTGTGACTTTTTAACCTCTGTGTGGGACACAGAAATGTGGTACTTCGTGTCATGGTAAATAATTTACAAAAAAAAGGGACAAGTTTCTAAATCTCGTCAACTGAGATCTTCCTGGAATGTTGATTACCTTCCGGTGTGCCAATTAAAGTTTTTTTTATCGAGTCTTTTCCAATTCGCCGAGAAATTAATTCCTATTACATCTAAAAATAAATATACAAACAAAACTGTTTACGTCACAAACGAAACTAATGCTGAACGTGTTTCGACCTCAAGAGGTCATCATCAGTGGCAAAAGGGGGGGAATTATTCATATAATATGATCAAAAGAATATGGTTTTAAACAGATCACAAAGGTGAGTTCTTTACAAAACCATATTAAGTAACACTTCACTGGATGTTGGTTTCACAGGATAAACATTGTAGGGACACATCTGCGCTACACAACCAACTATCCTGGACCCCCTATAGATTCATCTACGGGTCCTAAGGGGTCACCCCGGTCAGTGCGTCGTCAGGAACACCCTAAGAGTAATTCAAAACTGTCCCGTCCAGACTCTGCGACCCAAATACAAATTACTCGCTAAAGGTGGGAAATTTCTTTACGTAGAAAATTATTTCCCGCTGGGGAAACTGCCCCGCCCTCCTCGCATTCCACCAGCTCATTCATGCGTTCATCTTTATCGATCCCCAAGGTCGCGGGGCGAGGCCCACCAAAATATTCACGGCGCGGGGGAGGGGGCGATCACAAGAATACTGAGGAAACCCACGACTCACCTGCGACTGCTGATTACCGAACTTGCCTTCAGTCAGTCGCAGGGGTTCGCGGTGAGATGGACTGGGTGATTATGAACTGCACATGGAGATTTGTGGGGAAGGGATTGCAGGGCAAAGCAGGATTAGAGGTGGATAATTTGATATGGGAGCTATAAATACACCGACGCCTGGACACGTGTTCTAAAAAAAAAATTGTAAGAAAAGAGAAAACCTGAAATACCGACACGTGAGGGAAAATTTTACAGCCTGATTCAGGAGACAGGTGGAGCTGTTTCATATCCACCCCTTTTTTTTGGAGGGGGGGCTGAAAATTCCATCACGAGTCACACAAGGCCAAAGAAATTTATGAAGGAAATTTTGTAAAACAAACAGCATTTCGCCACTGCCAAGGGTCTTCATTGCAAAGCGGGGGAGTGAGTCCGTGGTTCTTTCACCCACAGGGATGTACAGAGTGTTTAAATTTCGGAACAGTGTCTTACAAAAT